GCTACATGACCTATGTCCTGACACAGGGAGCACTTCAACACTACACAAGATGCCGCAAAATGCTCCCTGCTACCACACCTGTGACAAACCTTTGGTTGCCCCGCATAAAAGACAACCAAGCGATCTTTACCTATAAAAGCTGAAGTGGGTAAATGCTTCACTACGTTATCCTCCACGTGTAGCCTGACCGTAGCTGACCAGCCCCCCGTCCAAATGCCCCTATCATCTAGGATTTTCCTTAAGGGGGCCAACACATCACCAAAACGCCCTAACCATACTGCTATATCTGCAGACGGGATGGATTCGTTACGAACCAATATCGTCACATTTTTAACTAAAGGCTGCCTAGACACCACCTTGGGCGCAAGGTTTTCCCACCTGGGGGTCCCTCTCCACTCCCTCTCATATCTCATCCAAAAAAGATCTAAGCCTTCTGCCCTTTGGAAAGACACGTCAAATTCCCCCATTCCCACTGGGGCTATAAAGGCAAAGATGTCTGAAGCCGTGAAGCCCATCTCAAGGATCCTATCGATCACCTCCCTCCTGCCTGGGGGGGAGTTCCCACCAACCCACCGTATTTGCACTACATTTCTCCTTTTAGTAGGGGCAACAGATCTCCCAAGCTGAGCTATTGGTGGTCTTACCGCACCCTGCACACCCCTCAGAGCCGCAGAGTAGTTCATGACCCTGGCTGCAGAAATTAGGTTTGCCTCTGCTCCAGCTGCCACATTACTAGCTGTAACTGACATCCGAGGAGAATCTGTGCTGCTACCAGCAGCTACCACGGTGCCAGCCGAGACCGGCACCCCCTGGAGACCCGCAACACCCCCAGACCCCACAACCAATGCTGCGCCGACCGGGACAGATACCCCTAGATGTGAGTCAGCACCATGCCCCCCCACCGGCAAGGAGCCAGACATAGACACTAGCTGAGGAGAAGCCTCCATTCTCGCAGAGGCTCCTTTCAGCTGACAGCCGGCCGGAAATGCAGGCACAGGGAGAGCCATGACAGCTTCCACCGCCGGCAAAAACACCGGTCGGAAGCGCCAATGCAGGGGGAACCACAACAGACTCCACCTGCACAATACCAGCCGGGATCACTTGTGCAGGGGGAGCCACCACAGGCTCAGACACCTGCACCGCACTGTCCGGAGCAAGCAATGCAGGAGCCGTGACAGGTGCCATCTCCAACACCGAACCAGACAGGATGGCCACCGCAGGGGGACCAGCGAGGCACCTCGGCACCGGTAAGTCACCCGCCGGGATAGCAAGTATGGGCGAGGACCCAGCTGCCTCAAAGGCTCCCCCCGGCACCACACCGGCCAGGACCGCCGATGCAGAGGGAGGTACAACTGGACCCAGCGCTTGCACAGCGCCGGCCGAAACACCCAAAGCAGGGGGGAACATGACAGCTCCTATTTCCGGCAAAACACCGGTCTGGGTATCACAAGCAGGGGGAGCCGTGACAGGGTCAAAAGGTCCCGCTGGCATACTGCCGGCCAGGACCGTCAGTGCACGGGGAGCCATGACAGCTCCTGTCACCGACACACTACCGGCCGGGGCATTTACTATCGAGGGAGCCATAACATATGCAGAGTCTCCCACTGGCAAGGTACCAGCTGGGACACCCACAGGGGAAGCCACAAAAGACCTTACCCCTGGCATAGTGCCAGCTGGGACTGTCACCCCCCCAATTTCCGCAGGAGACTCCACACAATTAACGTCCCCATTATTCACAGTCTCTGCCAGAGGATAAGCTTTCTCCTGCGGCTCCACCACCATCCCCCCTGGCTCCTGCGCTTTCTTTACCAGTGAACTGGGCATTCTTTCTAGGTGCACAAACACCAACTTTCCTTTTTCCTTAGGTTTCACTGCCTTCGGGCAAAAATCCTCCTCCCCATCCTCAATATCCTCCGATGAGAAGGAGAAATCCCTGCCCCCCAATGGGGACTCCAACTCTGATATAAATTGCATCATGCCGGCGCTTTCCTCCGGTCCCTCCAGGGATCCCCAATCCGGCCGTTCCTGCTGCTGTTTGCTGCTGCTGAGGTGAGATGGATTCCGGCCTCATACTTTCCACTGCAGACACACACTCCCCAGCTTGCTGTAAGCTGCTAGACGCAGGTTCACTTGCATCCCCAAAGGAATCTGACAGGTCTCCCAAAGATCCTTTCTCACTGGTCTGCCCTCTTGCTGCTGCCAGAGACCGCTCACGGGCATGCCTATAACGATCTTCATTGCTATATTTCTCACGAAAAATCCCACTTGCTGCCTTTAGGGAGGAGACCAAACTGGCCTGCTGGCGTACTGCCAGCTCCATGGACTCCAATTCAGGACCCATCACCTGCTTCTTAGCGCTCCTGGCCCTCTCAAAGCTGGCTTTAAACCTCTTTAGGTCTCCCTTCATTCTGGTCAATTTCTCCTCCTCTCTTCCAATCCGGGCCACATGGGCCGCAACACGGCCTCGGTAAGAGGCATATGACTCATTCCTTTTGGGCCCTTTTCCCAGGTCCTCAATGGGTGGTAGGCCAGGACCGGTACTCAGTGCCTCTGGGGAAGGACCCCCACCCGGATCACAGCCGGGCTCCGCCATGGAGCAAAGGGCCTAGACCCAAAATTGAGTCCCAGGCCCAGATGAGGCCTCCACAAACCTCAGAGCACTCACACATGCTGCTTCCAGTGACCACACCCACAGGAAACAGGAAAAGGAAGTTGGATGTTCCCAAAGTGTTGTATCAAAGCACATTAATAGAAAGTTATGTGGAAGGGAAAAGTGTGGAAGAAAAAGGTGCACAAGCAGCAGGGATGACCGCAGCCTGGAGAGGATTGTCAGGAAAAGGCAATTCAAAAGTGTTGGGGACTTTCACAAGGAGTGGAATGAGGCTGGAGTCAGTGTATCAAGAGCCACCACACACGGACGGATCCTGGACATGGGCTTCAAATGTCGTATTCCTCTTTTCAAGCCGCTCCTGAGCAACAAACAACATCAGAAGCGTCTTACCTGGGCTAAAGAAAAACAGACCTGGTCTGTTGCTCAGTGGTCCAAAGTCCTCTTTTCTGATGACAGCAACTTTTGCATCTTGTTTGGAAACCAAGGACACTGCAAGATGCTTGAAGTCCAGTGTGAAGTTTCCACAGTCTGTGTTGATTTGGGGAGCCATGTCATCTGCTGGTGTTAGTCAACTGTGCTTCATTAAGTCCTGGGTCAACGCAGCCATCTACCAGGAGATTTTGGAGCACTTCATGCTGCCTTCCGCAGACGAGCTATATGGGGATGCTGACTTCATTTTCCAGCAGGACTTGGCACCTGCCCACACTGCCAAAAGCACCAAAACCTGGTTCAATGACCGTGAGATTACTGCGCTTGATTGGCCAGCAAACTCGCCTGACCTGAACCCCATAGAGAATCTATGGGGCATTGCCAAGAGAAAGATGAGAGACATGAGACCGAACAATACAGAAGAGCTGAAGATCGCTATTGAAGCATCCTGGTCTTCCATAACACCTCAGCATTGTCACAGGCTGATAGCTTCCATGCCACGCCGCATTGAGGCAGTAATTGCTGCAAAAAGGGGTCCAAACCAAGTACTGAGTACATATGCATGCTTATAATTTTCAGAGGTCTGATATTGTTCTATGTACAATCCTTGTTTTATTGATTGCATATAATATTCTAATTTTCTGAGATTGTGGATTTGGGGTTTTCATGAGCTGTAAGCCATAATCATCACAATTATGACAAATCACGGCTTGAACTATCTTGCTTTGCATGTAATGAGTCTATCTCATATATTAGTTTCACCTTCTAAGTTGCATTACTGAAATAAATGAACTTTTGCACGATATTCTAATTTTTCGAGTTTCACCTGTACATTAGTGTTGTAATTGTAACTTTAGCCTAAACCTTTTTTTAATTTTAGTTTTGGATAGTGAGGGGGGAGAATAGTACTTCTTTTATTTTATTCTTTCTTTATTCATGTCCCTATCAGGGAGAGTTCTCCACACCTCCTGCCCCCAAAGACACAACAGGAAGTAAGAGGAAATCTCTCAAAAATAAGGAGAAATTTGCATTTCTGACAGTTTTTACTAGAACATGTGACACCATTGAAAGACAACCTTTCTACTCCTGTTCCAATGAGAACCATGAAAACAATTACAGATGAGTGATCTGATCGCAAATTACGTAGCACCTCTGTCACCTCAATCTGCATTGAAAAGGGTGATAGCTAATGAATGAATCCAATGTTTTTTTTAAAAATTATTCAGGGATCCAGTCCCAAATCCCTGTTAGTTGGTTCGCAAAACTAAGCAGTATTGATGCCACTGGTTTTAAACCCCTGCTTGGGTAGAAGTCATCAATTAAATGTCACTTTTCTGAACAGAAAACTTTCCTCCAAAACTTCCCATGTGCATATACATTTATTCACTGTAAAGACACTAAAGTGTAGCTTTAATGAGCTGAATGACCAGCATAAATCCATATTTCAATTCTTATAGAATAGGCAAAGGCAACGTAAGGGCTGTGTGACATAAATGTATGATTCGGATAGCTGAGATATTGTCAGGTCTCCAGGGTATGACCAGAGGTATGTGAACTGACGCAGGGAAACGCAGGCTTCAGATAAGTTATAAACAATATAATTTATTAAAGACTAACAATACAAACATAAACGCAGTGCAATACTAAAACATAACACAGCGCAAACGAACCAAACCAAACCACCCACAGATAACAGTACATACAATGCAAGCGTCGTCAGGCAGGCCGGGTCAATAACAATCGGGCAGGTAGGTACAGGGGGTCAGGCAGAGAATGGTCGGGGTCACAAGCCAGGGATAAAACAGGAGAAGTCAGCAGAGGTCCGGATCAGGCAGGGTCAGCAAACGAATCAGACAGAGACAGGGACAGGAACAGGAATGCAGGAACAAGATACAGGGCCCAGGAAAAACACACACCAAGGCAGAGACTGCAGGTCTGGCCATCCCTTAAATACACCTGCATAATCAACTTCAGGTGTTTGGCTGGCTGCAGGGTTGAGTCTCTGATTGCTGGGAGCACCCGCTGGCCAGCCCTGGTACTGCAGCCCACAAGGCAGGTGAGTCCCACCATTACTGGCAAGTCCATTCCTGACATTTCCCCCCCCTCAAGGAGTGGCCTCAGGACGCTCCAAACAGTCCTAGCTGGGCAAAATGTTCCACCGCCCGGGTCTGGTAACTGGTGGGATATCAAAGACTGGCACATCGGGCAGGACTCCGGGCAGCGGCACACCGGGCAGGACTCCGGGCAGCGGCACACCGGGCAGGACTCCGGGCAGTGGCACACCGGGCAGGACTCCGGGCAGGACTCCGGGCAGAGGCACATCGAGCAGGACTCCAGGCAGCGGCACACCGGGCAGGACTCCGGGCAGCGGCACATCGGGCAGGACTCCGGGCAGCGGCACATCGGGCAGAGGCACATCGAGCTGGACTCCGGGCAGCGGCACACCGGGCAGGACTCCGGGCAGTGGCACACCGGCCAGGACTCCGGGCAGCGGCACACTGGGCAGGACTCTGGGCAGCGGCACACCGGGCAGAGGCACATCGGGCTGGACTCTGGGCAGAGGCACATTGGGCTGGACTCCGGGCAGAGGCACATCGGGCTGGACTCCGGGCAGAGGCACATCGGGCTGGACTCCGGGCAGAGGCACATCGGGCTGGACTCCGGGCAGAGGCACATCGGGCAGGACTCCGGGCAGCGGCACACATCGGGCAGGCACATCGGGCAGGACTCCGGGCAGCGGCACATCGGGCAGGACTCCGGGCAGCGGCACATCGGGCCACCAGGCATGACAGCGGGCATCGGGTCACCAGGTATGACAGCGGGCACTGGGTCACCAGGCATCAATCAGGTCATTTGGCTCGCCAGCGGGCACCGCGTCATCTGGCAAGGCAGTGGGCACCGAGTCACCAGGCATGACAGCGGGTACTGGGTCATCAGGTACCGGATCGTCTGGATCGACAGCGGGCATCGAGTCAACTGGCCTAATGGAATCATCAGGCTGGATCAGTTCATCAGGCTGGATCAGTTCATCAGGCTGGGTAGAAACATCATGCTGGGTAGAGGCATCAGGCTGAATGGAGGCATCAGGCTGAATGGAGGCATCAGGCTGAGTGGAGGCATCAGGCTGGGTAGAGGCAGCAGGCTGAATTGTGGGCGCCGAGGCACCAGGCTGCACCACGAAGGCAGGTTCTCAGATGGGAGGCTGACCGGTTTGGATACTGGCAGGATGGTATTGGTTGGAAAGAACTTTCGCCTTTTCCTGGTTTTAGTTACCGGAGCACTGTAAGTAAGCGCAGGTTTGTAAACGGATGGAGCAGCTGGAGACAGAGAAGAGCTGGAGGATGGAACAGGGGAGGGAACAGTTGCTACAGAGGGCTTCTTTACAGGGTTAAAGGCAGGATAGGTGCAGTGAGTGGGAACAGGGTACTGACATGCGGTAGATAGCAGGGTATACTGGGCTGTAACTGGAGGTGCTGTTGGGAATGCAGGAATAGAGCTTTGAAGAAATAGATTAGAAGCAGCACTGGTTTTTTGCAAGCTGACTGAGGCTGGGTGCAACAAGTCTGACCATGTCTGCAGTATGGGTTGAACAAAGCTCAGCTTACACATAGCCTGTCTGACCAAAGACTGCACTGCGTTTATACAATCTCTTAGTACCTGTTGTGAACATGCAGAATAACGCTCCAGAAAGTAATCCACATCATCCTCTAATAACCATACCAGGGACTCTACCTGGTCGGCACTAAATGGGGGCAAAAATTCATCCCTGCATTCGGGGGTACCAGATGAAACCAACTCAGCACAAACCTGAATCAATGGCTGCACCTCAGAGAACTCTGTGCCCTGATCTACTAGGCAATGAGCGATCCGTATACATTCTAGCAGTTCATCCCTGGGATACTCCTTCAGAGTTTGATAAGCGTACTCTCTGTCATCAAACACTAGCAGAGATAAATACACAACCTCATCAAGATCCATCCTTCCCAGCAACAAGCCAAGATGGCTTCCCTGTGCAGCCACTTCTGGTCAGGATTGGCCTTGGTGTAATGTCAGGGCTCCAGGGTATGACCAGAGGTATGTGAACTGACGCAGGGAAACGCAGGCTTCAGATAAGTTATAAACAATATAATTTATTAAAGACTAACAATACAAACATAAACGCAGTGCAATACTAAAACATAACACAGCGCAAACGAACCAAACCAAACCACCCACAGATAACAGTATATACAATGCAAGCGTCGTCAGGCAGGCCGGGTCAATAACAATCGGGCAGGTAGGTACAGGGGGTCAGGCAGAGAATGGTCGGGGTCACAAGTCAGGGATAAAACAGGAGAAGTCAGCAGAGGTCCGGATCAGGCAGGGTCAGCAAACGAATCAGACAGAGACAGGGACAGGAACAGGAATGCAGGAACAAGATACAGGGCCCAGGAAAAACACACACCAAGGCAGAGACTGCAGGTCTGGCCATCCCTTAAATACACCTGCATAATCAACTTCAGGTGTTTGGCTGGCTGCAGGGTTGAGTCTCTGATTGCTGGGAGCACCCGCTGGCCAGCCCTGGTACTGCAGCCCACAAGGCAGGTGAGTCCCACCATTACTGGCAAGTCCATTCCTGACAGATATGATCAGTAGAAATATGTCATTGTATATCTAGCTTAGTTCCATGTTATTAAAGAGAAGTTAAGTGTACAGAATTCAGTCAGAGACATATGTTCATCAATTAGCATCTGAAAGGACAGAGCAGCTTCTAGGCTGGAGGTAACACCTGGATGTCAATAAAACGTTGTCACCTATCTAGTCAGACTTTGCCACCTTATTGAAGTGTAAAAGAGGAGCTACAGCCATTTTTGCTTTGAGAATCAGCAGGAGACCAGGAGTGGCTCCAATGTGTCTGTCAAGCTCTGAGGTATATCCACAGATCAAAGGAAAATATTCCATCTCTCATGAAAGCTAAAATATTAGTTGCAGAGAGATGAAAATACTTCCTTCTGATTGGACACACTGTAGGCTACATCTGCATGTAAAAGTGTATTTGTAGCCTCTGTAGAATCCCAGAGAAACGCAGAAAATGGTTATATGGCACCTGATTGCCACAGCTGAATAGTGATTGGTACTGTCGCGATTGGACTGATGCGCTGATGACTTGGTGATTCAAACCGTTCCTGGTCCAATCGACTTTGGGCACTTTAGTACCCAGAATGTCCTGTGGGCTGGTACAGGAACACCCCCCAGGGTTGATTGGCCAAGGGGTAATGTCCAGCCTACATCCATATTTCAATAAATTAAGGACCCTGAGATATGGACGGGGTGATTCGTACGATACCGTTCTATTTGACTGGTGAATCGCAGACTTTCTCTGACTTACTCCAGTCGCAGGATAATTCTTGATAAAAGTTTTATTTCTGTTTTTATTCCCTTTTATTTTATAGTCAATAGCCAATTTTGTGTCTTCTTGTATTTTTTGTATTTTCTGTAACTTTTTATACTTTGTACATATTTTATGCACTGCCCACTTTCTGGATATTAAATCATAAAATAAATAAGAGACTTCTGGGTACTTAAGCTCGGGCTCATAGATTGCATTGTATTGCAGTGTCTATATATGCTCGGTCAAGTTCATTGCCTATCTGTATGCAATTGCACTGAGTGTTGGCAGATTGCATGCAGATTGTAAAGTAGCAGATCGGCCAGACGGAGATCTGTGTGTGTGTGTGTGGTGGCCCAGCAGACCAGTCTGCGGACAAACTGTTGGGTGGTGGCAAGCTACCGTTTGTGGTGTGTCTGGTGTGGGGGTGTTTGGACAGTGGAAGAGTGATTAACTCCGGGGTTCTAGCCTGTAGGATAGCTGGAAATATTTTATTTAGAAAAAAAATCTTGCGATCAGCATACATTTTATATAAAAGTACAAAAAATAAATACAGAGAACCACACATCTGGTTAATCAACATAAACATAACTGGATAATTCTCCAAAATTAAACACAATCTTTATGACCATATCATCAGAAAATAATGTTTATAACCTTTTATAGAACGTTATGCCTGCGTGGCAGCCCCTACAGCCTTCACACCAGGAAAGGCACAATGCCACACACAAAAAAATTCACAGCCTTTATAGCTTAACCTTAAACTCCACTTTATCCCCTACAACGGGGAGGTACCATTATTTCACAAACTCAAGGTCCTTATGACCTACTAAGGTACTCGAACATACCCCTCCCACCAAAGGCTAAGAAATCTAGACCTTCAGGACACGTAGCCAATCTTCAAAAAAAGACTTCACAAAATCTAGGGGGTGAAAGAAGAAAGGAAAACAGGACAGTAACCACACCTCGAGATTAACAGACGGCAGCTACAGACCTGATATTCCTCCTCGCCTCTATCCAGGCCCTTCGCCGTAATCTGTCTTTCTCCAGACCCCAAATTTTCCCAACCTCACCAAGAATGTCACACACCACCACCTGAACAGAAAGGACCTTCTGTCGCAGGGAAACCTGACACCATGCATTCCATGTGTAATATCGGACCACTAGACAAACTAAGAAAAGAGTGCTTAAATCAAAACCAGCATGCCTTTCTAATGCCCCATACACCCACTCAGCATAAGACATGCAATGCAGGAAGATGATGTCTAGAGCCCTCCCCACCTCTTTATACACCTCTACATTGAAGGGACATTGAAGCAAGAAGTGGTCCATACTCTCCACTTCACCCCCACACTCCGTCCTTGGTCAACCACAGTCATCCAAAGGACGGTACTTCAGATTTCCCCTCACGTAGAGCCTGCCGTGCAACGCAAGCCAGGCCTGGTCCCTAAATTTTAAGGGAATCCTCTCCAAATTTAACAATCGTAGACCCCCCCGCAAAATATGGCCTGGGCAATCCTTCAAGGCCAGCGGTGCATGAAAAGCAGAGGTCACGACCCTCTCCCTCAGGAGTCTCCCAGGGAGTGACCTGACCTCCTCCGCCCTCACACACCACCGCCTGAGAATCTTCAAGCACGGGGCGACATAAGCCGGGAGCTTACCATGCTTGACTCTCAAGCTTCTCACTGGCCCGCCTCTCTCCCAACAGTTCAGAAAAGGCCTAAACCAGACTTGAAAGAGGCCTACCCATGCAGGCGGTGTCTCTTTTAGCATACTACCAATATTGTGTTTAATAAACATCAAAGAGAAAAAAACAACTGGGTTGACCATACCTAGGCCACCCTCCCGCCTGGATTGGTAAGTCACATCCCGCCTCACAAGGTTCAGCCTGTTCTCCCATAAAAGCTGGAAGAAGCAGCTGTAAACCCTTGTGTAGAGACAAGGGTCTGTCAACTCTTTCTCTTAGGGACAGCCGCTACCCCTTCCAGCGTCTCACTTTAACATCGGCATCTGATATCCTGGACTCCCAATTTGATTTGCTATAATCACCAGGGCCAAATTCGATGCCTAGCACTTTTACCTTCTGTCGGGGCTCAGGGAAGCATCCGGAAGCTCAAAGCCCTCACCCTCCCTGCCCATCCAGAAAACTTCACACTTATCATGATTAATGCTCCATCACCGAGACCACCTCCTGCGCCTCACCAGTCCCAGAGATGAATACAGATACGTCATCGGCATAGGCCACGACCCTCAAAGGCGGCTCACCAAAAGCGCCCACCGGCACCCTGCCCAACACCCCACCATCTAGCCTTCTAATGAAGGGGTCGATGGCAAAAACATAAAGCAGAGGACTCAGCGGACACCCCTGGCGCACCCCCGAGCCGACCCCAAAGGGCAGCCCAATCCAACCATTGACTAACATGAAGCTCTCAGCCCCTTTATACAAAGCCTTAAGCCATCCAATGAACCTCCCCTCCAGGCCATATCTGTCAAGGAGACACCAGAGGTACTTGTGATCAACCCGATCAAAGGCCTTAGCTTGATCAAAAGCCAGCAAACACTTCCCACAGCCGTCAGCCCTGCACCGCTCCAATGCCTCCCGGACAGCTAACACCGCTGAAAAGGTACTCCTGCCCTGGACCGAGCAGTGCTGCTGCTGCGAAAGTAGACCGTCTGCCACCGACGATAAACGCCAGAAAAGAATCTTGGCCAGGATCTTTCTATCGACATTGAGCAGGCTAATGGGGCGCCAATTCTCAATCATCGAAGAGTCCTTACCCTTTGACAATAAGATCACAGCTGACTTCCTCATGGAGGGAGGGAGAGAACCCTCATCTAGACAGCAATTAAACACCTCCGCTAGGTGAGGTGCCAAGCTAGATTTGAAGGTTTTAAAAAACTCTGCTGTCAAACCATCTGGTCCTGGGGTCTTTTTAATGGCCAGACTGTCTATCGCTTTAGCAACCTCTTCAGCTGTGATCTCACTGGTCAAACTTGTGGGCGGGGTGTTATTCTCCAAACCTGGTGTAGAGTCCAGGAAACTTAACATCCATGCCCGGTCAAGGTGCCTCTCTCT